CATTCTCTGTGAATCTTATAGTAGATTAAAAAAAAGAGATCAGCATTTAGACAAAGGAAGCAGAGGAAATACAGAGGCAATGAGGGTTGAGGTCTTTAAGGGGCTGATAAATACATGCGGTACCTCTCTCACGGGCAACTATTAATTGTCCTGTTTGGATAGACAAGATAAGGTAACTGAATTCATTTATTGATTCTTTAATTCAGCAGGTAGATCGTGATTTTCTGTAATGATATCTTAGGTGAAAAAGCAATATAAACATGAATACAGATTTTCTGCTTAAGAAATGTGGGTATATAAAAAACCCAAAATGTGATCATGGCACCTGGATATAGTTAGCTCACGACAACCTTCAGTGTCAGGCTTTTAAAAGGTATAGAGGGGCTGGGGATTTAGCTCAGCGGCAAAAGCGCTTGCCTGGCAAGCGCAAGGTCGTGAGTTCGGTTCCCGGTACCGGAGAAAAACCAAAAAAAAAAAAAAAAATTAAAAAATAAAAATAAAAGGTATAGAATGATAGAAATGCCACTTAATTATTTTTTAGAAGGGAGCTTGGATCCCTTACTAATTTTCTACAGTTTCTCTTTTTTATTGTTGTTTGCTATTTCCTGATTTTCATAATGCCTAAAATACTGTATTAGTTTCAAATTCTGTAGATGTTTTCAGTTGTAGTCTGTCCCATAAATCATTGCCAAATGGATAGTATTCTAAGGCATAACTTTTATCCAACTGACTTGTACTGCAATTACTGTTGACAAGACAGCCCCTGGACTTCTGAGCCATAATTTCAAAGCTTCCCTATACTTTAATTCCAACTGACTTTATCTTCCATTATTTCCCACTGAACTCTATTTTCTGATCATGGCAGCATATCTGCTATTTCCAGAGTAAGATTTCCTGTTCCATGACTTTCATGAACAATGTGTTTGTCTGGGTATACATCCTCTTCCAGTGGTCAGGTACAACATGTCAATTCCCAGTTTCTTTTAGCTTTGGGCACCTGTCTGTGACTCAACTGGAAATAATTTCTCTAGGTTCTGAATTTCACTTCTTCACACAGGGTTGATACTTCAATAACTTCTTAGATTGAAGTTAGTATCACATGTCTTAGCTCTACAGAATACTGTACATTGCTTCATAGCTCCTTAGAAGTTGCAGAGTGGAGAGAAGGTGTAGAATATACTGGCTATACCCAGAAGTAAACACGTACTGAATAAGGTTACTGGATGAATGAATACCCAACAAAACGGGCATTGGAAGAGTGTTAGTCATGAAGAAACTCATGAATTCCAGCTGGGTCACGTGGTTCCCAGAGAGGTTGATGGGATTAAACATCCACATATTTTAAAAGATAGATCAGAGATTGGGAAATGTGGCAGTTTCCAGCTATGCTGCTAACTTCAAGAACTACCAAAATGTTATTCCAGTATAGAAAAAAATAATACTTGAAAGTGTGTGGTGTTGTCAACCGTCTGAGTACATAAAAGGAAGTCCCCAAAGTAGGGCAGAGCTGGGCCTAACAAAAGTTAGGAAACCACGCATGCGTGTTGACCTGTGTGTCTGTTTGTGCGTGCGTGCACGCGTGCCTGTGCAGGTAGGTTTGATTTTTCCATGTCTCAGAGAAAAGTTGGCGTTAAGCTGAATAATCTGATTTATAATAATGTACTCTCCATCTCTATGTCCAAGGAGACTGCATAATGAACTCTGCAATTTCCTCTTCCTCTCTGAATAAAGGTAATTTCTAGTATGATGAAGTAATTAATGTAGATGAGGGTTTTTGAGGAATAAGGGTAATCAACTTTTCTGCAAGGAATTCATCCCAAGGTCAAACCAATTTGGAGCCATGGCTCTAGTCATTCACCACAACCACTGACAATTTCAAACTACTGACTGACTAAAAGAGCAGAAAGGCCTTTCTCCTCTCGCTTCCGAGCTCCTGTTCTTCAGGTGACTTTATAACCAACATCTTTTGTTGCACAAACAGTACAGCCCCTTGGCTTGACATTTAAAATGTGTTCCATAATTAGATAAACTTGAGTTCTTACTCTTGCCAGCTGTATGAATTCAGGCAAAAGCTTTTAGTCTCTCTGGTCTTCAGTGAACTCATAACTAAGGGGGAGAATTAATAATATTTCATGCTGGTTGGTAAAGGATTAACAAGACAGGTACATGGCATAGTAACCCAATCACAAGAGCCCCAAAACACTGGTTTTTCCTCTCTTATCTCCAGCCACCCATGTAAATAAGGAAATTCAAAGAAGCAGATGATATCAAAATTCTAGCAAAAACCACAAATTTAGACTACATTATTCCTTCTTAGAAAATGTCAGACATGTGCACCCTAATTTTGTGTTGTTTTCAAATAGAGAGAAAAAGTTTTTTTCCCTTTAGTTTTAAATTTCACATCATTACTGTAAGATCCGGGGATAAAATGATGTGTCTATACTACTAGTGTCTATTATTTCCAGAAGCCAAGTCTGTGTCCAAAGCCAAGTCTTCACAAAATTTTCTGCACCTATTCTTCCATCCTGCTCTAGCTTGGGGTAACCAGAGAAACTCTCTTTATATTTAACAATTCACATTGTGGAGATGGAAATTTTGAGATTTCTAAAAGCATGGATTAACTCAGTATGTCTTCATTACTTGAGTTTCCTTATGTGACAGGTACTTATTACCTGAAAGAACTGAATAATTGTGAACACTAAACGCATAGGTGTTTATAGCTTTTGTTTGTATAGTAGTTCCCCTTACCCTTAATTTTGCTTTTCTTTGTTTTAGATGACTGTCTCAGTTACCCGTGGCTACCTGAGGTCCAGAATATTCCAAACATGAGCAATTCACAGGTTTAAACTGGATATCATTTGGAGTACTGTGATGAACTCTCACACCACTCTGCTTCCTTCTACCAAGAACATGAATCACCCCTTCATCCAGTATATGTATATGCAAATGTTCCCCACCTCTCAGTCACTGAGCAGCCATCTTGGGTTCAGATCCACTGTCCAACAACTGTCTTTAAGAAGCCCTTTGGTAGTACTCTAACACTACCGCCTAAAGCTTACATTACTGACACCATGTGGCTGAATTACATAGCCCCCGCTCTATCTCACATCAGCACAAGAGGAGTGACTATTGTACAATAAGATGTCCTAAGAGACCACAGTCACATAACTTTAATAACAGTGCACTTGTATCATTCTATTTTATTTTTCAATTGTTATTAATCTCTTACTTTGCCTGATTTATTAGTTAAATATGTTCATCAATCAATTGATCATATAGGTTTGCATGCATAGGAAAAAATGCAACAGTTCTTGAGCTTGGTACTTCCACTGGGGGTCTTAGAAGGCCTCCCACAGGATAAGAAGAACTATTTTGAAAATGGTAGTTTAATTCAAATATTTTACACTAAAATTTTTGAGCATCTGAAGGCTTTGTCCAAATTAAATATCATATTTGGCCCTAGTTTTCAGGAATAATAATATTAATAATGAAGGAACTATGTGAGATCACTTTAAACAGGAGCAAAATTTTTTAAAAAAATGTTCCTCCCAAAGCTTTTCTCCCCCATTTCTAGAACACATAAAGAAAAGTAACTTATTTGATATGTTATATTTAAATATCCACAGTTAAAATTAGCACTTACTGGGTTCTATTACATAAGAGCAATAAAAAGAACAAATTTTAAATGATCCTAAATGCCACTGTTCAGAAAATCTTCTCAAAATAATAACTAAATATGAAACATGCCTTGGTTATGAAATGTAAGTAGCGTATAAAAGTATAACATAGAAAAGACACCTCCATCCATCTTTCTTGTCCCAAAATTCCTTATTTCAGTGGTAAGAACAATTGTTCTGACCTCTCTAGAATATACTTCAGGTATAGGCGATTTATTTGTAAACTCAATCTTATTTTATTTACACAAAAGATACGTTGAATAGTCTTTCAGTCCTAGCAGCAAATATAATTCAGTTGTCCAGCTGGATAGATTTCTAAACTCACAAAGGTAGGTTTTGTCAAAAAGTACAGAAACAGGTGCAGAGACAGGATTACGAAGTACTTTAATAAGCTGGAAATGGTAGTTATGTCCTATAGATAACCATAGACAGTAGAAAAAAATGCCTCTTTGGCAATGTTTTTTCCCTTTACAGTTAATACAATTTGAGTATGTTGTAGCAAGTTATTTTTATCCAAACAGACTTTTGCCACTGTTTTTCAGGTTTGGTTAGGGAGTATTTCCTTAAGGAAGTCGTCCTGTGCTGTGGGTACACTTCTTGGTGTGCTCAGAATATTTAGGTTCTGGTGGAACTGTGTAGAATAACAGTTTGGTTTACATGAGATGAAATGAGCAAGGAAATTTTCCAGCAGATTCGTGTTTATAGCATTGCTGCTAAATCATTGTACGCTAAGCATGAGTCTATGTTCATTTGATGGTGACTGTAAACTGCTAGATAATTCCTGGTTGTTGTGCCTTTATTTTATAAATTTCAAGTGGCTAAGATTTTTTTTTCAATATTTATTGGTTGATTAAACTAAATCCATAGGCTCCTATTAAGAGTTACCAAGCAATATTTCCAGGAAAGAGCTAAATCTATGTGACATGATTTAGGGAGAATGGTTCTCTTCTTTTTTTTTTTTTGGTACTGGGAATTAAACTCAGGACCTTGTGCTTGCCAGGCAGGCGCTGTGCCGCTGAACTATATCCCCAACCCTATGCGATGTGATTTTACAGAGGTCTCAAATTTTACCAAGTCCCTTTCCCAGAACTGCGCCTCATCTGTTCCTCTGTCCTCAGTTGCTCTCTGCCTCTCTGCTTACTCTGCGCTACCCTTTCTTTACTAAAGTGTGTGTTTTCTATGTTTTTCCCATAGCTCCGGTTTCTCTTTTCTTTCTCCCCACTTCAGTTCTCTGCTGTCGTACAATCACACACCACACATGCATGTACACGCACAGGCGCACACACGCACACAGATGGCTTAATGCACCGGATCCTTCCTCACCGGGATGAAGAAGTAGGCTCAGTGGTTTGTCTCTGGACACGCGCATGCTTAATTAGATGTTCTTTCAAAGCAGTTTGGACTTCGGCTGGGATATCCGGAGAAGTGTGGCTAATTTTTATCGCGGGCTCAATAGCTTTCAGCACTGGCTTGCCATTGTCTTTAACCTCTTTTTTCTCTTCAGTCTCAAAAACCTCCGTGGGAGCACTTGAAATGCTCTGTGGGAGGGTGCTGCCGTTTGGAGTCACGGGTTTGCTTTTCCAGCATGGCCAGCACACCTTCCAGAAGACAAAAAGGGAGACCGCCAACAGTGCCAGGCCACAGAAGCTGACGACGACTGCTAACAGGCTCACCGAAATATCTGGAAAACAATTGCAATGCAGAGAAATATCAATCAGTATGGACCACAGAGGGGCAGAAACGGTGAGATAGCAGAAGATCTCTGCAAGGTTTCATCCCAGGAAAACTTTCTAATCGTATATAGGAAGCACATGACATGTGGGTAACATTCCCAAGTGACACAACAAGGTAGTCAAGGTTTTGCCCATAAGGGCCGACAGTCCGGAGTTCGCCACGAAGCTAAAACTGTGAAGTTAAACTCCAGACCCACACGCAACAGGAAATGCTTCTGTCTGCTTCCTCTTTGATCTGAAGATGAACCCTCTAGTTCTCTAAGCCAGAAATAGAAATCATCTTAAACATATCTGTCAGCTGCTTTCTGTTGTATAAACAAGAATGACATGACTCACCCTTCATGGGTACATTATTAGTTATGGATTTCAAGTCCACAGTCTTTTCCAATAACTTTCTATCTCCTAATTTTTAATTCTTCACTTAGTTAATGAATTGTGCTGTAGTCAGAATAACTTACTACAAAATTCACACGTTAAAATTGTAACCCAAGGTGATGGTATAATGAGTCGTCGTCTCTGGGGAGGTGATTGGCCTTGGGTCAGAATCTTGAGGCTGGCATTAGTACCCTTATAAAAAAAAAAAAAAGGCCCAAAGTAACTCTCATTATTGCCAGATGAGGACACAGGAAGTCGACCTCTATGAACCAGGGAGAGGCCGTACTCTGGCTTCAGTGGTTGGCTTGGTTACTTTTCTCTCGTTGCTGAGACAAAATACCTGACCCCAGAATCAAGGAAGGAAAGGTTTACTTAGCTCACAGTTTGTGGAGTTTTCAGTCCATAGTTGGCTGGCTCCAAGGCAGGGTGGCACATGGCAGAGGGCAACAGTTCATGGCAGAGGAAAACAGCAAAAGCAGCCAGAGCAGAAGGGAGCAGTGGTGGCAAACAGCCTCTTTCTCTCCCTTACATATGCAAACTATCCGCCCCAGGGTGGGTGTTGCACTCACACCCATAACCCCAGCATTGGACCATGGATCAATCATAAACTCTAGAGGCGCACTCCATGACTGCATGAGGCTTTGAGGGGAAATCCAGACACAAACCATAACAGTGGTCCTCCAGTATTCCTTAAAGCCTCAGTGCAGCAGCGTAAAGAGGTAAGACCTACTTAGATGTGTTTGGGTAACAGAGTAGAGCACTCCTGAATAATGCCTGAGTTCCCACTCTGTGAGGATTGAATTATTTACTCTGAGACCAGAGTTTTACAAAATGAGGCAGGCCCCTGAGGATTCATCCCACCCCTTACCTCACATCTGCTTGCCCTTCTATTTTCAGCCATGAGTTGAAGCAGCATGAGGTCCTTATCAGTTCTGACTGCCTCATCTTGGACTTCCTAGCTTCCAGAACTGAGAGGCAAAATAAAGCTCCTGCCTTCATAAATGACCATGTGTTAGCTATTTTTTATGGTAAGAGAAAATGTACCACAAAAAGTCCTCTCTAGACAAGGAAATGCCAGTGCCTTGATCTTGGACTGCCTGGGGTCTAGCATGTGTGAAATCAATTTCTGTTGTTTATGGTATTTTGTTATGGCAAAAGATAAATTGTTATCTAGATATCTTTAAAGTATTTTATTAAAATAATTGCAATAGGGGCTGGAGATTTAGCTCAGCGGCACAGCGCCTGCTTGGCAAGCACGAGGTTGTGAGTTCGATTCCCGGTATGGGAGAAAAACAAAACAAAACAAAAACAAATAATTACAATATTAAAATATGTGCATTATATGAAGGGATTCAAAGAAATATGGTTAAAATGTTAGGATGAACAAACAAATAAATTCAGTAGAAGCAAGAAACTTCCTTTACTGAAGAATTCCAAACAATTATGGGGATGCTTCAGCCTTAACACCCACTTCTAAGTGTGGGTTGCACACAGTACACAGGGGCTTTCTTCCAAGAGGTTCTGTATGTAAAGGGGTAACTTTGTGGTGGAGAAACCCAAGATTGCTCTTACCCAGGTTATCACTAACAGAGATGAGCCAAGTTAGTAGCATACACCTGTGATATTATCTGATGAAAATAATACTTTGCCTATGTGGTTTTCATGTCCCAAAACCATAACCCAAGTTTAATCATGATGAAAATATCAGACAAGTTCCAAGGGAAGGTGTCTTACAGAATACCCGAAAACTACTTCTCAAAATTAGCAAAGTAACCACACACAGACACAAAAACGAAGTTTAAGAAACTGGTATAGCCAAGAAGCAGCTAAGGAGATATGACCAGCAAATGCAAGGTGGTATTGTGGATGGGATTCTGGGATAGAAAAAAGTCATTAGGTAGAAACTAAAAAATATATATATGAAAAAGCATGGACTTTAGTTAATAATGTATCGATATTAGTCAGTGAATTGTAACAAATGTACCATACTAACACAAGATGTAAATATTAAGAGAAACTGGGTATGGGGTATGTACTCTCTTACTAATTTTTCTATAAATCTAAGACTGTTCTCAAAAGTAAAAACCAATAAAATGAAAATTAATGTTCCCCTCTACACTTCTGTTTTCATCTCTCAAAGATAATCAAGACTAGCACTCCGATCTTACAGTATTCTTAAAGTTTGGAAGACCAAATTGATTTAATTGACTTTATAGTTTTCTTTTACAACTGTTTCTCAGCCTCAACATCAAATCCAAATTCTGTTTATTTTAAACAAAAGTGTTAGGTGTATGTTATGGGAGGAACTGTTTTCCCTACTCTGGAACAAATTGTTGTTTTGAAGTCCTAACACTCAGGTTATGATTGTATTCAGACATCAAGACTCTCAGTGAGTACCAAAGGTTAAATGAGGTCATCTGAGTTGGCCCTGGTTCAATGAAACATCAGTCTGTTCTAAGAAAAGGAGGTTAGGACACCGTCACCATCACAGAGACTAAGACACAGGGAGAATCGTCATGTGCCAACCAAGGACAGAGGCTCAGAAGAATGCAGTCTTGATCCCAATACCTATTCTCCAGGTCTTGCGAGGGAGTGAAGTTTGTTGTCACCATCCAATCTGGCGTATTCTGTTATGTGAACCCTAGTGAACCACTACAAAATATCTAATGTCCTTTGACCATCACTTGAAATCTAGTCCCAACCCTCTCTAGAACTTTCCACTGATACCAATTAGGTATGTCTGTTCAGTCCTCGGTCTAGCAAGCCAAATTATCTTCTATTAAATCATGAATAAGGGGGCTGGGGATTTAGCTCAGCGGCAAAGCGCCTGCCTGGCAAGCGCAAGGTCGTGAGTTTGGTTCCCGGTACCGGAGAAAAACCAAAAAAAAAAAAAAAAAAAAAATCATGAATAAGTTGGGCATGGTGGTGCGCACCTGCAGTCTCTGCTCTGAGAGGCTAAGGCAGGAGGATCACAAGCTCAAGCCCAGCCTAGGGAACAATTTAGTAATTTAAAAAGACCCTGCTTCACAATTTAACAAAATAAAAAATAAAAAGGCTGGGGATACTGCTTAATGTGAAGGCCCTGGGTTCAATCCTTAAAACAAACAAAACCAGAAAATCACAATTATGTGATACTTTCCTTACATAAACCACTTCCTGCACATCTCTTCCTTCAATCTGCTTTATTTTATACTTAATATTTGAAATCTAACTTCTTGGTAATAATTAACATTACATAGTAATTCATCATGGTGGCTATCTGGATTAGGACCACAACACTATAATACACTACAGTGATCTTCCTTGTACCTTTTTCTTCATGCACATTGATGGGTTTTTTGGTTTAATAAAAATTCTACTAAGTCATCATGGCAGCAAGCCAATATGACATGGCCCACTGGAGGCCATGTGGCAGGCTCCGCCTTCCTCCTCCCTGGTCATATTACAACTTCCTACTTCCTTTTTTACAATATCCTGTTTCTCTCTTCCCATCCTCTGTCCAATCACTGCCCACCAAGTTGCACAGACCATCCCCTACACCCCACCCCCAGCCTGGCCCTATATAGCTACTGTTCCCATGGGCAAGCCCTCAGAAGCTCCATGTCCCTCCTTTCTGCTGTGGTCTTCTCTGTACCTGCAATAAAGGCATTTTTTATTTTGCTTTATTCTTATCTATGCCAAAAAACCTATCACTATATTTCTAAATGTCTGAGGTAAATATCTTGGAATAGAAGTACGGGGTAATAGGTTGCATACATAATTATTTTTATTAGATATTTTCAAAATGAGTCCTCAAGTTGCTATAACAAAAACATTATATCAATTTACTAGTTCCTACAGTTTCAGAAAATACTGTTGTACTTTAATTTCACTCATCTAATAGGGAAATAATACCTTGTTTTAATTCACATTTTCCTGATCAGCAAAATACAATTTGCAGCTAATGGAAATCCATTCAGAAACTGAAACATTTCCCAGTTTTTATTGCTACTTAATTATAAGGATAAAAATTAATTTTGAAATTATATGATATAGACATTAATATTTTCCTGTTGTTTATCAAGGCAACCACTGAATGTTTCCCATTTGTATTCTGTTGATGAAAACGGTTATGATCATATTTTAAATGTTAGGTTACTTTAATTACTTATTACCACATATCCTGAAGAGAAAAATATAAAAGGAACACACTTCCTGGTTATTAGCTATGGGTTAAAGATGGATGAATAAGTACAGTTATGGCTTCTGCTTCTGCTTTGACTGTGCCCCCTGAAGTTTACACAGCAGAAACTCCATCCCCTATGCAACAGTGAGGGAAACTGAGACCTAGTAAGAGGTGATTCGTTCCTGAGGGCTCTGCTTTCAGGAAAGGATGACTGGTTTTCATACAGGGCAAGTCTGGTGAGACGAGTGAGTACCACTCCTTCCTCCCATTCTGTTGCTCTGCTGTACTCTTATTTCACCACGTGTGCCACGGAAACACAGCATGAGGCTCCTCACCAGATGCCACCACATTGAGGTTGGATGCTCTAACCTTTAGAACTGTAAGAACTATATTTCTTTCCTTCTAAATCACCCAGTCTTCAGTATTGTGTTATAGTGACACAGCACAGACAAGACAGCTTCATAATCTGCATGTATTTTCAACTCAACT